TTTTTTTATGGCGGCCATCTTGGATTCGCCATTTTGGAAAATTTTTAGTTCCAGTAGAACCTGATCAGGTTCCTTGATAATTTTTGTTTGAAAGCCATACCATCTCTGACGCTTTGGCCGGGCAGGTGGTGTCCTACCTGATGCAGACCACGTCTTGAAAGTTTTGGATTTTTCTGGTATTTAATATTCTCAGTCAAACACAATCCTTGTACATTTATTTAACACACCTCGATTCGTTCTAGGAGAACAATGACGTTGGACGGTGGAAATTGTATGGCGGCCATGTTGGAAAATGAAGTACTACAAACACAATTTCATATTATGGGGCCTCATACGCGGCCAAGTGCCAAATTTCAGCACCATCGGTAAATTTTTTTCAGGGGGCCATCTTGAATCAACCATTTTGAAAAAATGAAGTTGACAGTCAATTAGCTCCTATCGTCTTTTCGGACTTTAGTTTAAACATAATTTACCTATCTCTAATAGTTTCAGAGATATAGTCCCCCGAAATTTGTATGGCGGCCATTTTGTTTTGCGAATTTGAAATTTTTTTACTCCCGGTAGAAACTGCCCAGGGTGTCGAGCAACATTTGTTTGGAGACCTTAGGGCTAAAACGTATACTTCGCACGTGCAGCTGGGGTCCTCCCTGATGCTGAGCACTTTTCGAAGGTTTTGGTACTTTTTGATACTCACCAAATCCACCCAACCATTATTCGCATACGTCATTCTTATACACCCGCGTTTCTTCTGGGAGAAAATGTGCTGGTCAGAAAAACCGAAAATACACTTGTATGGCGGCCATCTTGGAAAATGGCGGAATTCAAATTTCGTTCGCAGATACATACTATGAACCTCTATTCACGGTCGGATGTTAAATTTCATTCGGATCGGAGCATTTTTACTTCTGGCGGTCATTTGGAGTCCTCCATCTTGAAAATTTTTTTACCTGCAGTTGGCTCGTACTATTCTGTACATTTGCTTGAGCGCCTCTCATCTATGTCCAACACTCGCCCAGATGTAGGTCTCGGAACATAGTGGACTGTGGAAAATATATGGCGGCCATATTGGAAAATGGCGAAATCTAGAATTTGACCGCAAATTCGTATTACAGGCTCCCAAACATGGAAGGCTATAAAATTTCAGCCGGATCGGAGCACTTTTTTGTCTACAGCCAGTTAGATCTTGTCGCTCTCTACGATATTAGTTTGAACGCGATCTACCTATGTCCAACAGTTTCCGAAATGCTGGCCGCCGAAATTTGTATGGCGGCCATTTTGTTTTTCGAATTTTGAACTTTTTTCACTTTCCTTAAAAATTGCCCAGGGTGTGTATGAACATTTGTTAGGGGCACTTTGAGCCTAGACGTATACTTTGGCCGGACAGCTAGGGTAGTACCTGATGCGGAGCACATTTCAAAGAGTTCAATAGTTTTTGACGTTCATATGACCGATATAACCATTACTCTCCTACATCACTACGTACCTATCCACCCTTCTTCTGGGCGAAAAATGACTCCAAAGGGCGAAAGTTTCACATGTATGGCGGCCATCTTGGAAAATGGCGGAATCAAATTTCTAACCCCAGATTTGTAACCTAAGCCCCCATACACGTCCGCATGCCAAATTTCGGCCGGATTGGACCACCTATTTTTCGGGCCGCCATTTTGAGTCGGCCATCTTGAAAAAAATTTGTCACCGGCAGTTGACCCCCGCCGCCCTCTATGACATTTGGTCGAGCACCCCCCACCTACCTCTTGTAGTTTTCGAGATATAAAGCTCTGCAATTTGTGTGGCGGCCATCTTGTTTTTACGAATTTCGAATTTTTTTCACTTCCGGTAGAAACTGACCAGGGTGGCGGCCATTTTTAGTAAGAACACCTTTCCGGTAGGTCTTATACTTTAGCCGCGCGCGTAGGCGTTTACCTGATGATTTCGGATTTTTCTGGTACTCACGGGACCGATCCGTCTACGAGTCTAGTACATTATTTTTACCCACCGGCACTCCTTCTGGGAGAACAATTATGTCAGTATCTGGATCAGTCAGTGGTAATCGAGCTATATATAGTATAACGTGATTATTACAAAATGTTCCTCATCAGGAAAATGTGTAGGTATCCAGAACTCTTTATTTCTCTTGCGTAATCGTATGTATAACAACAACGCCAAAAGTTCACGGAGGTTGAAAGGACACCTAATTAAGGAACGACTTAAATGCTGTGTGCCACACAGAACCAGAACAGCAGAAATTTGAATCTCTAGATGTACAAATGACATAATTATTAACTGTGATTCGGATTGGATGCAGTGCTTAAGCGACATCCGCGGTCGTCTGGGTTTTCTAAATCTGTATATACTCGTACCTGTCCGGATCAGTCGCGCAAACGCCCTCACACTGCATCTGCTGATTATCTGTTGCCGAGTTTTTCTTTTATAGACTTGTTTTTTAACTAGCCTGCAAAAGTGTCCAACTGCTGGATTTAACATTAATGGTTATGTACGTGTACAATTACTTAACCAATAACCGGCTGAATGGCACAGTATGTAATGTATTTTTTTATCTATATTTCTAGATCAAGTTATTGGCAACGATACTTGATCAACGTTTGACCGCGTTTTTGCAATAAATTCAGTTTTTTATAGTATTTATCATAAAATCAACTGTCGACTGCAAACTTAAGTATGATTCACTAGGTGAATTTAATTTTTACACATTGTTACTAGTACGATCTAAGACGGCGTTAGCTTACCAATATGAATGCACTGCAAGGTGCATTCATATTATTTTCTGCGGCGTACCTCAACTAGTTACTTACATAACTAATTACGACGTATTTTCCGTCATGTATTAGGGAAGTCTGGCTTATACAAACTGACAAGTGTTTATACTGCATTTTGAACGCTATGGCAAATGGTGTAAGCCTCGGAACCGCTGTCGCCACGATTAACGATTAATGCTTAACGTTCTGCAAAACAAAGTTATCCATATTTTAGCGGTTTTATTTTGGTTTCTTATAACATAAAATCTATTACCATAAACAGAAAATGGAAATTTATTAAAATAAAATAAAATAAGACAACGATGGTATGAAACACGGAGTGCCCCTCAGATCTTTGCGATTTAAAGCTCTGAGTGGCACTGCAACTGTTGTGGACAACCGTGTAGTTTACCACCCGACACACTACATGTTCGTCCCCTCACTTGATATTATAAAAAAACACCACCACGGATAAATAACAGGTGCGACTATTATTCTTGCACTCAAAAGTAGCAAAATACACCATTTTTCCGCGATTTTCGAAGTTTATCGACATTATCGATTATCGACACGGCCGCACTGCGACGCGACGGCAATTTCGTGAAAATAAACTCATATAAACGTATGTCGGTGGCCGCACTGCAGAAATGACATGCGAAATTTATTTGTTCATATCCTAAAGAAATTTCAAATGTTCTAAAAGTAATGAGATGTCACAATTTCCGACAAAATATGCGGTGATGCACCTGAGCGGCCGCACTGCCTCGCGGTGTTCGTGCGAAAGAGCATTCGAGCGAAGAGTTACGAAGGAGACACCGCACCTCTTTCCACAACGCAAACGTGACTATTCGTCGCGTGCGGCGTCAGTGCGGCCGCCGCTGATCGCCTAACCATCATCGTCATCGCCTAACCTGCCTGATGCGGCCACCCATTAAGCGACGTAGCGTCGTTTCGCTGGCTTCTCTTGGCTTTTGGAATGCGGCCACCTATTATTTCGCGTCGCCGCCGCGTCGCTGTCGCCACACCAGTGCGGCTCTTGCCTAACGTACAAAGCAAAAATGGCGGGCTGGGCTCAAGTATGCGAAACTCCGCGTATTGCTGACACACGTACGACGCCCACTAAGCACTTCTATTGTATTTATTGTACTATGATTTTGGCTGTCACACAAGCCACGTTCACGTACTTACGTACATCGACTGGAACGAAATGTTTTCGTACATTTATTAAATGTGGCTACCTATTTTGTACAGTAAATGTTCGCTAGCTCTGTCTTTGCCAATCAAAATACTATCTGTGTGTGCGGTACATTAACCCATCTACATATTTATACGATTAACTTCTACCGATCCTTAAAGGTCTTCGTATATTTTAACAACGTGATGAAGTCAGCACCAATTTTCAAGACTATATTAATTTTCAGGCTCCCATAGCCGTTCTGCCGTGGACAGAGACCTTGATCGCAACCAAACCAAGTCCTTTGTGCGTTCAAAGGAATCCATATGTTCGGCAGATAGACATAGAAGGCCAAGAAGACTGCCTTTATCTAAACATCTACACTCCCCATACCAACAATGTACGTTTTATTTAAAGAGGTACTTAGGTGTATACGGATTAAGATAACTATTTGTGCAATAATCGCCTCTCTACATTGCCGCAGTTCGTTGAAAGGGCACTTGTGACAAAAACTCAAAACCGATAAAATAATATTTATAGAAGTCAAATTAAAAAAATCTACTTTTCTTTTGCGGTAACTGCATACCTTATCCACCTAGAAAAAAATATAAATAGTAACACGGCCTTTCTTTATTGATCACGGTAGTAATAAATAACAACTTTTTTTGAAAATATGTGACATGTGCCCTTTCAACTAAAGGCGGCAGCGTAGCTGTATTTATACGGATTTAGTTCCTCGTAGTCCTATTAAGCATAACAAATTGGTTATTTTATTGATTATTAGACCACATTGTACTTATCCATTTTTATTATTTAATGAAAGGGTCATCTAAAAATTTAATTAAATAACTTTATTTTTCAATTATTAATACAAAGATCGAATACAAAGAAAAATTCCTTCGATCTGACAGGACTCGAACCTACGTCTGCGCCACACCATGGCAACCGCTCTAACAACTGAGCTACAGATTGAATCAGCAGACCTTACGAATTTCTCTATACGTTTGTGACAGTGTCATAACATGCAGGCAAAGTCGACCGTACCGCCTTATGGCAGTCATGGATTTATTTTATATTTTAATTGTATTGTACTTCTCAACGTTAAGATTAAGCAAAAAGTTTTTGTGCTCGAAAAATCTGAATGTATTTCGCATATACTTGAAGTATAGAAAAAAGTAAACATTTGCAAATTTAACTATACTTTCATTGACTTACTAAATTAATTTCATAAATTCAAATTCTGCAGCATTTTCAGTATTTTGAAATTATTTATTTTATAATTATCTAATGTCTAATAGAGTCGGGTTCGTAATTCCTTATTTACCGCCCTTAATAAACAATATATATTTACCGTTGCGCGATCAGTGAGAACTCTGATCAGCCCCCGTAGCATGATAGTGCGACGCGTGCAATAAAATTGGAATAAGCGCGCACTATTGGCTGTCTCAATCAGATCCAATTTACATAGCCAATAGCGCGCGCTTATTTCAATTTTATAGCGCGTGTCGCGACTACCATGCGAAGCCATGCTAGGGGGCAGAGGTTGACAAAAGATGTCGCTTTATAATAAATTCTAATATTGATTGTAATTAATATTATGTTTTACTACCATGATATTACTTAATTTTTTCTCAAATTACTTCCCTAGCTTGTTATAATTAATAACACAGTTCCAGTCCTGTCATATCGAAGTAATTATTCTGTGTTCGATTTCACGCAGAAATTTCACAAAAAAATTATGAATTATCATGGTACTTAGTAAAACTTAATAATGTTTATTACATCATTTTATTTACGTTTTACCAGCTATAATAATAGTGTTTAAATAATATGTTTTAGGATTTGTTGCCAGAAAAGAATCTACTCCCTGTAATGGTGTGGTTCCACGGTGGTGGATGGATGTGTGGCGGTAGTGTCATGTACGGCCCTGACTACCTTCTAGATCGCGACATTGTTCTTGTCACCACTAATTATAGACTGGGTAAGGAAATAGTAAAGACATTTAAGACCATCTATTACCGGTTAGACTAACAGAGGTACTCATGGGAGATCTAAATAATCACCCTTTTTAAAAGGTTTTAAACGCAAGTAATCATTAGTTACAGTCCAGATCAAAAATACTTATAATATGAATAAAATAAGAACAGGTGGAGAAAATTTTACACAAATCCGACGTCGATTGGCGCCCGATGGCGACTGATGGGGCAACGGGCGATACGACGTGTCACTAAACCGCTAAGCAATATGCAAATTTTGGGATAAATGTGATTTAATGACTTCAGTTCAAAACTAAAATTTAGCAGGTTCTCTTTAGTAGATACTTGAAATATCTCCATACAAAAATTATGTATACCTAAGTTAGATATTTTTTCTTAATAATATGCATTTTAGACTTAGCTTGTTTTCAGTTAGGACCGAAGAAAGTACATCTTATCATGTGTGTTTCTTTAGAAAATATCCTTATGTCTATCGTATATTTTTTATAACCCTATTATTAAAATGTAAATACCTAAACCATATATTTTGATCTCGCAAAAGTTTTTCCCGCTTCTCTTCCGTGATTCGCCTCAATAAATAAGACCATTTCGATGAGTAGGTAGTTTTTTGATCATATTGGTGAGTTAAAATTTGATGCGCAAAATTTGTTAGAAACTTAAACATTCGTTTAATGTACTGCGAGATGCAAGAGCCTCGCAGAGTCAGTCCTCTTCTTACCCAAGTCTTGCATGGCCAGTCTTGGTCTTGCTACAATTAGGTAGTCTTGAAATGTATTTTTGCAAGATCTTGGGCAACACCAGTCAGCTATCACGTAGATTAAGATGTTTCAGGTCCTCTAGGTTTCTTGTCTACTCAAGATGAACACTGCCCCGGCAATAACGGTCTCAAAGATCAACAAGAAGCGCTAAGATTTGTTCAGAAGGTCATTCATAGTTTTGGAGGAAACAAAAACTCTGTGACCATTTTCGGGGAGAGCGCCGGAGGGGCTAGTGTTCACTATCATATGATGTCTGAAACTAGCGCTGGTAAGTAACGCAAATTAATGATGTCTTTAATAACCATGCTAATTAAAAAAGAATCCATACAAAAAAGTAAACAAACGAACCAAAAAGTCCAGTCAATAGTGTATGATTATCGCATTGCTGTAATAAATTTATCAGGCGGTAAGAAGTTCGTTTGCGACGGACAGAAATAAGTGAATAAATCATTAAAATCTTGGTAAACAGATGCAGTGCACCGAACTTTGCCTAGGATCCATAGTGACTGATATATCTTATGTACTTAACTCAGTCGATTGTACATTTCTAAAATTGCACCAAGAAACCATTTTGAGTTAGTCATATTTATAATAATAAGATTTTTTTTTACTGTGCTGTTACTAAGACTACAAACCATGATTGTTGTACTATGAGTAAGATAGTCGGCGTGTGTCTCATTGTTCTAGGATTATTTCACAAAGCAATATCGGAGTCTGGCACAGCGTTGGTTCCATGGGCGGAAGCACCTCCAGGCGAGGCGCTGCGCAATACGTTCCGTCTGGCCAAGCTATTGGACTGCCCCCAGGCGCCTTCAGACAAGATGCTAACTTGTCTACGCGCTAGAAACAGTTATGATATAATCAACACGGAGTATCGCTTTTATGTAAGCTCTATATATTAGGTTTAGTCATTTCCATCGGTCTCCAAGTGTAACAAAAAACTATAAGTACCCTACGACTAAATCTAGATCGTTTTGAAGATGATAAAAAAATTGAACAAAAAATAATTTTACATCTCTGAAAACATATTAGATTCCCTATACATTTGTTTAAAATTTGAAGATATTGTTCTTCTTTTCAAATTTCGCCAACTTCTTCTTATCGTGTCGATACTTTTTTATTTTAGGACTGTATTGACCCTCTATAGTACGTTGCTACCTTGATTGCGCTGTCCGTGGCCGCGTAGAGATCTTCCTCCGTACAGATATTAAGGACACTTGTGTTACTGTGTGTGTAAGTGCTGCATGGACTGTGTTGGGGCACCGCAGTCACATTGGGTTTGACTAGTAGGTATCCCTGCTGGAACCCCATTTACGCATCGTATCTTTGCAGCGTCCTACCTGAGTGCGAAGACGATTTAAGCACTTCCATACGGGCCACAATTTAATAGCAATACAGCTTCATGTGAAAGAGTTCGCCCAAGGAGGTACTGCCACCTTACGCATAGGTAAGGTGGCAGCGCAATGCTCACATTACTGTGAGCATTGCGTTCCGGGTTTTGACGGGCAAGGGTGCTGGTGAAATTACAGGCAAATGAGACTTATCAACCTATGTCTCAGGGAGACTGGCGCAGTGACGGTGTAAGGAACTCTCGAGATTGTAATTTGTACGAAAGTACGAACATACTAGGTAGATGCGAACCGGAATAGCTATTCGGATTACACCTTTAGTTTTCGTCCCCACTAGGGATTTTAAATACTTGTTTCTTATACAAGTTAACTAAACTTAATTGCCTCTGTGGTTGAAAGTTACCATGCTAGTCTGCCACGCAGAGGAGTTTCTATTCCCGGGCCGGGAGAAATATTTGTACGGCCTACATTCATTTCTCTCGTGAATTTGGGTGTAATTTGTAGCTGTCTTATGTATGTGTCCATGGCACCCGCGACATAGGGTTTCCCTAGTGCTGCGCTATGAGTGTGTGCGTTATAAAAAAGAACTATTTTTCTTAATATCTCTGGGCAATGTTTGTGTTTCGACTGTGGTCGAATTTTTGTCAGTCAATTGCCCTTTACACTTGGTGCAGACTGGACGCACTCAATCGACTTGGAAGTGCACGGAGTTGCTACTACTCTTTATTTTCGTTATATTTTTACTAATTTGCTTGTTATGGGATAAATGTTATTATAAAAATAAAAATATTTACAGCCTTATAACTATTTCATATGAAAAACAAAACAACAATAAAATACGTACTTCTGAATTCAAATTGATGTAGATGACAAGTTGGAGCCTGCGACTTCGTTTGCGCAAAATAAGTACTTTAAGTAGTCTACTGTAGTATATTAAACTTCACACTTTTAGTGGTTCTCCGCGCAAACTTACATCCCCTATTTAACCCCCTTTCAGATCTATTTTTGTGACAAGAGAAAGCCTATATCCTTCTCCTAGGCCCCATCTATCTCTATATCAAAATTATCAAAGTTGGTTCAGTGGTTTAGGCGTGAAAACGTAACAGAGTTACTTTCGCATTTAAAGTATTAGTGTGGATAAATCTATTATAATGGCTAGACAGGGTAATTGATATTCGGACGCATTGGGAAATCCGAAGATCGCCTAGAGACAGTAAGAAAATAACTGTACTGTAAGTGCTTTTCAGCATTCATCGAGTATACTCGATGTCAGCATTATACACTCTTTATGCATTGTTCTTGTAGGCCATTACTCTAATCATTAAAATTGTTATGTTACTACCGCAATGTTATTTTCAATATCCACTTTCAGGTGTGGGATTACGAACCTTTGACTCCATTCAAAGCTGTGGTCGAGCCCGACTTGTCTGGAGCCTTTTTAACTAAGAACCCAAGACACCCGACTCCACCATCAGTTCCATGGTTAACCGGACTTACCAGAGATGAAGGATGTGTCAAATCTGTCTGTGAGCTCTTCTTATCTCCGTACATTTGGAAATCTGACTTCGTTAAAGTTCGATTCTATCATATGAGAAGAAAAAAAATTTTTCTAAATATTCCTGGTGCAGCAAACCAAAACGGATACTTCTACAGTTACATAACGCAACTGGAATCCATTGGGACTTTGGTACAATTTTACAACGTACCAATAGGTTCCCGAATTTTCATTACTTTAAATTCAATGTTATATAACTTGATATTGGATTAGCCAACACGTAAAATAAATTTAGTTGAAATGAACCATTATCGATAAAAAAAACGAAACTAAGTAGATAATGTACGTTACAGGGATAACTTCAAATACAACAAGATTGAAGGAGTTCATGGCAGGGTTCGACACTATAGCTCCCGTGACTTTTTACTACGAGAACTCTCCTTACGCGGACGTCATTACCAAGAGAATTAGAAATAAATACCTGAAGGGTCTCTCACCAGAAGAAATTAAATCTGGTATACTCGATGTTAGTAATAAATAACGTATTAAATTATCAGCTATAGCATTCAAACTATGAGTAGCAAAACTGCCTATCTAATTAACCTTCTAAGGCCCCGTGTATCAAAATGTAGATAATACGTAAAATGATTCTGATCTAGATAATATTATTTCTATGTACCCGTAAACGCCCAGTGTACATTATTATGAAAATACCGCATTCAAATTTAGTGCTATTACCATATACCTAGTAAACCTAGAAAAATACTTAAAAAAAATCTGAGTTGCAATTTTCAGACCTAAACGATGTTGCTTGGGACTGAAGCTTATAGGTAAATATTTAATAAATTTTAATGTATATTGGCCGTTTATAGCTTTTTCTATAGTATTTTATTGGGTCTGAAGAAGTAAAAATTGTAAAAGTAATAAGTTTTAAAAATGTTGCACATGCAGAAACGGTAACCTATCACAAACTCGAATTTCTTTTTTCCGAATTTCATTAGTCCGAAAATGGTTCAACTTTTTTTCATTAGTGCGATGACAGTTTTGGTATAAATTTCCAACACAGAAATGTCTTACAGCAGAAGTATCGTTGATCCGAAAACCTATTGTTACAATAATTATTATTAATTATTGTAACAATAGGTAATAATAATTATTGGTCAAACGGTTTGTGGGGGAAATAAAAATCGGGAAAAGAATAACTTGTCCATATGTCAAAATAGTGAAACATTAAATAGTGTAATGAAAAAAACCGTAACGTGTTTTCGGACAAATGAAGCAAAATCTATTCAATAAAAATCTAAAGGTTTTCGGAGAAACAAAATTCTGTAAATCATGTTTCTAGCTTGTGATAGGTAAAGTATATAAGATTTATGTTCTTCAATTGAGTATTCTCTTACAGATTTACACAGATTCAAATTTTGCATACCCATTGATAGAGGCTGTAGAATTGGCATTAAATTACACAAGAAAACCAGTATTTCTGTACGAATTAACGTACAAAGCATCGAACAGTTTTACTGCAATATTTGGAGATCCCGAAGAGAACAGTTACGTGTGTCACGCTGATGATCTTTTGCATTTGTTTCCCATCGTCTTCCATCGTGACCCCACAACGAAAGATCTGGAGATCAGCAAACTTATTATCACTATGTGGACCAATTTTGCCGTAAGCGGGTAAGTACATAACAACCTATCACTGTCATAAAAAATCAGACTTTTTTTTTTATAATTTCAAATGACGGGATGAACAACATGCGCTTGATGATAAGCTATATGCTCGTAATAAGCGCACTGCCACTGAGCCCGTCATCCTGAGACATAAGTCCCATGTGCCTATAATTTCACCAGCACTCTTACCCTTCAACACCGGAACATAGTAATACTGACATTACTGCTTGGCGGCAAAAATAGGTAAGGTGGCAGTGCTTCCCTGGACAAACTCTTTCACCAGGAGCTCTCCTGCTACTAAAATGGTCAATGATATCACACTGTAGGTAACTAATAAGACTTAGTCATTCATTTTAATATCACTATGATCGGACAACCCAAAAATTTACTCGTTAAAACCATCTAATTAAGTGGTATCATAAGTACTGCTATGTTACCACTTAGTTAGATGAAAATCCTATTGGACCCAATGGTGGAACCAAAAGTGAAATGGATAATCCGAAAGAATCATAAGTGTCAATATCCTAATTGCATTTTGTTCTCTAGCTTAACCCATGTACGTCCCATTGTTAAGTCGTTTAAAGAAAGAGTATACCCCATAGTCCTCCACAAAGGACCAATGCGTTTAGGTCGATTTATTTTCTAATCGATCAATATTTTCATTTTAGGAATCCAAATAAACCCGAGAAATTGCCAGCCGTATGGGAAAGAGCCACCAGTTCACAAAATATGGAATATTTTGAGATAGGGGACGACCTGGTAATGAAAGGCGACTTAGCCTCTCGATCGCGATTCTGGAGCACGCTGCCCTTGTGGCATAACATCCGCAGTCGTACTTTCGTGGACGAACTATGACCATATTTTTCAATAACATACAAAATAAGTATACTACTTCGTCTGTTCATGAGTTTTAAGACAAAGTAATAGTTACATAAAAATTTAAAGAAATAAATATATTTTTAAAATTCTGAGATAATGATTAATAGACACTAACCAACAACTACCAGCAATCATTACTCAAATGACCGCCTCCATTCCTAATACAAGCTCTTAGACGTTCTGGCTAATCTTGAGTCGTTGCACGAAATTTCTCCAGTAGGATTCGGTTCGCTTCTTTGGTGAGGACCCACTCTGCCAAAAGTCCTACGCGAATCCAAATTTGGGTAAGACTTTTGGCAGACCTTGAGCTCCAATTCAGTCCATAGACTATTCTCATGTGGGTTATGATCAGGACTGGAGGGTGGCCATTCTTCCGCCGCGATGAAGCCCGGCAAATTTCTCTTTCCTATGCTGTTTGAGTCGTTTTAGCCTTAGGGGCCGGTGCTGAGTCTTGCTGGAAAATCCATTCTTTGTTGTGAAATAGTATTAGATAGGGATTTCACCACAGTCTCTAAAATATCACTTTGATAATTTTTTGGTTTCATCTTAACGTCTTGTTGGCAAAAATGGAGCCGAGTTACACCTTCATACGAAACGTTCACACTATGCCATCACACTCACATGATGGGTACGCGAAGCATAAAATTTGTAGTTTCGTCTGTAAAACTTTTCTTCGACCGTGAAAATTTTTTCGTCGGTGAAGCGCATCTTTTTCGTATCGTGTCTCCTAAGCAGCATCGGGCAACGTTGGCGTCGTAATTTACGAAGGCGATCATTTAGGAAGTGAACTTTTCTACGACTCTACGATTGCCTTTAACTTGGGATCGTATTTCAGTATTCTATTGACACTCGAAATGTTAGACTGCAAATCTGATTATTTTGATGTTCGCAGTTGTCCTTACAGACCGCGGGCGACAGATTCCCTGAAAGATTTTTCAAGGAATCAGGCACCTTGTAACATATTATGGTGTAATATACAAAATTGCGGCTTACCCCAAAACGTTTTATGTCACGCAAAACCTCCACGGAAAATCGCTATGTGTAGCGAAATTACAGTCGCACGATACTGTTTTGTTCCTCACGTGATAACACACATCACGAGAAAAATGATAGAAATTAATTTGAAAACCTACAAATAGAACACAAACAGTCCAAATCCAAAATTAAAAAAAAAAAAGTATTAAAAAGCTGCCAGTATTTTTTTGTTTTATTTTTAAAGTCAAAGTTTGTCTCAAAACTTATGAATATTTCATTACTTCGAACATTTCATGCTTACACATCACAGACCACATAAACATACTGGGATGATCTATACACATACATACATACGTACATTAAAGTTAAGCAAAACATGTTACACTAGCTGTCCACCAAGAACCAACCTTCATAAACTGTTTTGATTCTATCGAGTTTTTGTCGTTCATCATCTCACAAAAATGTCAATCGTCATCTGTGTCTGGAATTTTATGTCGATAATTGATCGATTAGTATTTTTTCCATCTAAAGAAATTATATAAATTATATATAATTATATAATTACATTGCTGTATTTTCTATTGTTTTATCACTTTTATTAACTAACTGCCCTTTTTTCCATTTAGCACTTCTATCCAGGGTTTAGAAACCTAAGAATTTTGTTAATTACTTATTTCATTGGATAATGGTCATGACAATACGAGTTATTGTATGAAACTTAATAAGTAGAGTAATTAAATTAATACCTGGAGTAAATAGCGCCACCGCAGACTATAGGTACTGTAAAATACTTATGGGTGTACACGACCTTTTCTGTGACATCATCATCACTACAACTATTTAGAAAACCCAAATAAAAGAATTTCTTTTTTCAAGTATTGCAGATAATTTTCCATAATATTATTAAGACATTGCCATGTTCCACATTCTCCGTATACGGCCCAACAATGATATGGGATACTTTGTTATAAAGTTTGTAGCATTCTTTATAACAAAGTAACGCCAAGGAACATCTCTAAATTTAATTTGTCTGAACGACATGTCCAGTTGAAAAAAACCATTATAAATTATATTTTAATTAAATTTTTATTGAATTGATATTCAATTATTTTTTGTGAAATTACTCCCACTAGTTTGTTATAATTATTAATACAAAGATCGAACACTCGAAAACAGACTCGCGCCTTTCTCATAGATGGCGCTACGACTAAAAAGTCGTTGAAAGACCAAGTACAAAGACACGACGCAAGCACATAGAAAAATTCGCGAGGTCCGTTGGTTCGTTCCGTGGCTTAGTTGGTATAGCGTCTGGCACGGTATGCAAGAAGACGTCGGTTCGAATTCGACCGGATCGAAGGAATTTTTTCTGAGTGTTTTTTCCGAGTGTTCGATCTTTGTATTAATAATTATAACAAATTATATTCTGTTTTTACCTGATAGTATACAGCTGGCTCTACATTTATTTGTTTACACCTAGTATTTATTTGGTCTGTGGTTTACAAATATTTTTTATCACGTCTCCGTGATGTCTTATTATTGGGCCATTAAAAGCAATCGCGTCGAATTCCGAGTGTTATATTATTTACTTAGAGTTAGATAAATTAAATACGTTAATGTTATTTTCCTAGTGAGTATCACTATGGTGTAGACATGTCACCGAATAATCCCCTAAATAACATTTTTTCTACTTACACACATCCAAACTAATATCCTATGCGTGAAGCGCGCTGTCCAGTACAACACAACTGGAAGAACGCCGGCTGGTCTTTGCTTGCTACCTTGATTTGTCGAAGGCTTTCGATTTGGTATCGTACGATGTGCTGTGGGACAAGAGTGATCGGCAAACAACCTTGCCTAGTGAGATCACGTCCCTCTTAAGGTACAGGTATAATCACCAGAAGAACACTGTGAGATGGGCGGGGTCTCTCTCTGATCAGGATGGGTTGGAGTGCGGGGTGAGACAGAGAGGCTTAACCTTTCCGCGGCTCTTTAATTTTTATACGGACGGGCTAATCGAGAAGCTCAGCATACCAAAATCGGATGTCACGTTGATGGCGTTTGCTTGAACAATATCAGCTACGTAGACGATATGGTGCTGCTGAGCCCCTCGATAGGTGCTCTCAAGCGTCTTCTGCACATTTGTGAGTGGCCCATGGACTCAAATATAATGTGAGTTAAAGCGAATTGATGGTTTTCAAGGCAGGTACCAAAACCTATAACCGTGCCGCCTTGAAAACACCTCCTTTGAAAACTGTTAGTAAATTTAAATATTCGGGTCACCGGATTACTGATAACCTTAGTGAGAATATAGACATGTTAGCCCGCAGGTTCGCGCGGTGTACAAATTACTCTGGTCAAAGCTTTTTGTATCTCTTTTTACTCGTGCGACCTATGATTGGACTACATGCAGAGGTCGTACAATGAACTTCGCGTGCAATACAACAACGCGATCCGGGTATTGTTGAGACTGTCGCGTCCGGCATTTTCGCCGAGACGAGGACTGACAGTTTCGCAGCCGTGATGAGGAAGCGGTGTGCCTCGCTGAAGACCAGACAACGCGCCAGCCTCAACTGCATCCTAAACGTGTTTGCGAACCTCTGGGACAGGCCAATGTTGGCCCGGTGGACGTCATTACACGCTTCAATATAAATGTTTTAATATTCATGTTTCAGATTTTATATATTTTTTATTTTTTCATCTGGATTTTATTGTACTAACACTTAGTTCCTTAAGATTTTAATTTTGTTTTACTAACACTTTAGTAAGGACCACCTTTTGAAATCTGAAATAAAGTTATTTTATTCTTATTATTTATTTTATTTATAATATTATAAATGCAAATATCTGTTGCGTTTTCACGCCTAAACCGCTGAACCAAATTGATTAATTTTGATATAGAGGCAGGAGGGACCTAGGAAATGGACATGGGCTACTTTGTGTCACAAAAATAAATCTTAAAGGGTGTGAAATAGGCGATGAAAGTTTGTAAGGAGAATCAATCATTTCTCAAGTAAGTGTAGGCTACTCGAAGTACGAATCGCGGACACTAGCTAGTTTTCTATGAATTTTAAAATTTTTTTCCACATTCACAATCGGAGAAGCATAAAATCTGTCCATAAGAGAAAAGGTATACTTACTTCAAGTAGAGACGCACTTATAGGTACTTTACCGAATCTTATCGGTGGGTAGGTTAGAGTTTATTAGGAATCTCACTGTCGAATTAAACACAATTTTCGTGGTTCCATTATTTTGAAATGAATTTACTTTTAATATACCTACATAACGCCGCCACGAACAAAGCACACTTATCTTGGTTTGAATTTTTTTACATCTGAATTTCAATTGTATTTAGTAACCACAAAATATTTTATCTGACTCAGATGCCAACAGTTACCTACGAGTAACACCTACTCAGGTAATATCAGCACAACAGAATGGTGCTTTATAAACAAGGCAGAATTTAGTTTACAAAACTCTATTTTCAATCGTGGGAGACTGTAACTCGGGAGGTTAAAATTCTTACCTGTTTCATTCTTACAATACTTAAATGCTTTAAGATTAGTTGGTAATGTTTTGTCAACTTACCTCGCCCAGCATAATAAGTAACCCTCTAAGATAATCTACAAAGTGCTAAGTAACATAAACATCGAGTTAGACAATTGTCAAAAGAAATAACATTCCGTTTGTTACAATGACATTACTATATTGAATAATATAAACAGTTCAATAAGCCAAACTTTAATTGGTACGATCAATGGACTGGTTAGTTACACATGAGAAAAAAAACTTTGAGAAACTACGCATTCTTATAATTGTAGTAAAAGAAGTTTGAAAAATCTGTACAATTTCATAAGAGCGGTTTATAATATAGCATAGGTTCCCAAACTTTTTGGCTCACCGCCCACTTAACCAAGATAAAAAAATTTCAGCGCCCACCGCCACAATAAATAATTGAAAACACGTATTTTTTATATTAATAACACAAAAAAATCACAAGGAAAAAATATATATGTAGTGTAATTTATATAATTAATTCAGGTTCTTTTTCAAATGCGGGAGCACCCCTGGACAGGATCAACACCCCCCCAATTTCTTCCCAGGCACCTGCCGCCCGCCTAGGACTCTTCAGCGTCCACTGGGAGGCGATAGGCACCACTTTGGGAAACTGTGCTATATAACTCGTTACGGCATTGCTAAATTGGGAAACTATGCTATATAACTTCGTCACGGCAATGCTAAATTGGGAAACTATGCTATATAGCTTCGTTACGGCATTGCTAAAGTCGTAATGGGACAGTGATAGGAGTCCAATTCCGTTAATTTTCTTGAAGCCACTAGCCATTGTAATTCCATTGAGACTCCATTGAGATTATGATAATATTTCCAATCTACTAAAATATGGTTGCAATGGCAGTTGAGTCTCAGACTTAGAGGATGGAAAAAAGTCTACGTTGGAATAACTGTGATCGCATTCATTCGTTCATTTTCCACTCTAAAAATTTTCCTTAAAATTTTCCTCTAAGGTTCTAAGGTCTTACTAAAACATGGAAATACTATCCAAATCTTAATTTTTATCTTTAATCAGCAATTTAGTCTTCAATATAAAATTATATAATATCTGTATTATTAGAATTACGTCATCGACGTGCCATCGACACGCCATTGAATAGCAGAATATTAAAAAATTGCAATGGCAGCTGAATAGTAGGTCGACGGCATCGTATATATAAACATCAGAAATAGAGACGAAATAAGGGCCGTCCATCCCTGGCATATATATTATCACTTTTAAATATCAACTCTCGTTTGCAATGAAATCACAAATTAGGAGGCTGAAATAGTACAGCGTCAACAACTGACCTTTATGAACGTCTCCGTATATTCCAAAATGTATTTTTTGTAATAAAATAATATCTCTAATTGTGGGGGGCTGTTCCATTCGGTGGTGAGGGAAAAACAGCAAAACAGCTAATAAAACAAACGGAATCACATTTCGTCGGTAATTAAATATTAAATATGTAATTTTTCAATTTTCGTTCATTACAGCAAAGCTCAAGTTAAACTGATCGATTTGAAGTGAAACAATTGACGACACCCGTCAATTGTTTTGAATTCGGACTGGCCAATCGGAGCGCAGTTGTCACCGTAATGATTTGGCAGAATAGTTTTCAAACTAATTAAATGACATTTCGTCTCTTTTTCAGGTTATATACTCGATGGCGTATATTCAGTCCTCGACGGCTAGCCACTGACAAGTCACTACTCTTGACCTTTAGCAGAATACCAAAGGTACAAAATCCTGCCATTGACTCTCTATCGATACACAATTGAGATGATTTAAAATAACAAACTTGGGGCCAACGAGAAAAATCCTCAGGGTATGACAACAAGGACCAAATGGCTGTTAGCCCCAGACCCTAACACTTTGGTCCCAGGAGCAGCTGGCCATGGCAACGCCGTTCGGTGCCAATGAAATGGAGGTCACTCGATTGTCGTGTCCACTTAGAGTGCCTGAAACGTACAATTTAGTAATTTTGAGATTATCATCATCACAAAATAAATAATTACATTCGAGCAACCAATTAGGGCTAGCACGACAGGGCGCGACTTGCGCGAGACCGACATAAAGCGCGAGACGTCTATGTGACAACAGTATATGTCACCCTTTATGTCACTCTCGCGCAAATAGCGCCCTGTCGTGCTAGTCCTACTGGTTACACTTTTTGCAGCTATACAAATGCAAATCACAGCGCGACACCTGCGATTTACAGGCGGTTGCATCGCTACAAACGCGCGATTGCATCGAAGCGAATGCGCGACTGCATCGCGATTGTATCGCGTTTGCATCGCGATTGTATCACTGCTTAATTCACGCGTGCGTGTAAAGGTAGACTATGACCACTGTAGGCGCGCTGCTAAGCCATGAAACACACAGAGAGCGGGTGAGGGTCGGGTGTGGATTGACAACACATCGAGTGCGGGCGCTTACTCTCTGTGTATAACGCTATAAGCAATGATGCCCTCAGTTTTGTACAAAAACGTAATTTTCTAGATAACCTACTGTCATATAAAGTATTTAGCGCTATATTTATAATAATAATGTATAATACAATTAATATTGCCTGTGCCTGAATCACTTCACATAATTATGTTTATTTATTCCCGCTTTTCCCGCTATACCGCGTCTGTGTGGCCCGACTTTAATACTACAGACTTTCATATCTTATTGTAGACTTAGCCTTATTTGTCCAAAAATATCTGGTAGGGGCGAAGGTATGCATTGTAGCTACTTAGTCACTGAGCGTTGGAAGGTGCAAAAACCAAAGTTCCAATGATATGACGGAATATTCTCCACTTTATGAATTGTATCGAGCAAATTACAATATTATTAGCATACCAGTGTGGGAAACTTTCAGTGTGTCCCAAGAATGTACGGAGTTGTCGTCAGAGCCTGCTAGCAAGTATCTGCCGCTTAGGGATAAACCTGTAGAAAGTATATATTTTCACTTTACTATGTGTTGTTTCTCCTCGCAGTGAAATCAATAAGTGGATAAAATATCTCATAATACGGTGGCACTGACCGCAGCTAGTAAAGCCACAGCTGCCTGGTGGCGTGTAGTGACCGAGTTGCTGGTCGCTGCGAATGTCGAAGAGCCGCGCGGTCTTATCCTCAGATGCCGTCGCGAAAGCCTGCCCACTATTGTGGTACTGCAAATTAAAATAATTGTCTTCTCATTACATTTAACAATGAAACACTTAGCGACAATATAATTAATTGTAATATACAGTGAATATATCTGCCGTCCACTAACAAAAACGCGGCTAAGTGACAAATGGTCAAATAAAAGTTTTAAATAGCAAAGAATAGAGCACAAAACTCTCTTTTAAAAACAGTTAAAATTAGTTAACGTGTTCGACTAATTGGAACTTACCCTAACGATGCATAGCTGAAATATCATTAATCAATTTTAATATTCTGAATACGGGGCTATGGTTTTTAGTTAGCGGACGGCAGATATGATGATTTGTCTACAAATGCATTACTCTTGAAAATAATTAATACGAGGTCTGTCCCAAAAGTATCCATTACCTTGATCTTCGTCCGTTATTCTACGTTAGGTCTATTATTATGCGACTCGTATCTTCAAAGTAATCTTCATTCGATTGAACAACTCGTTCCCAGCGGTACTTCTACATCCCGAAGCATTTATAGAAGTCAATTTTCGGAATAACGTTGAGTGCTATTCATCGCATTTTTTTAATCGTCTGTGTCGTCATGCCCTTTGAGCGGAATTATCAATCTTGGGAACAGCCAAAAATCGCAGAGGGCTACGTCGGGACTGTACGGAGGTTGGCGATGTTGAATAATGTTTTACCAAAAACTGTTGGACAATGTTCAATGAAGGCGCTGGCGCATTATCGTCGTGATTTTGCCTAACAATCGCCACTCACCCAAAAATGTGGCCGTGTTTTTCGCACTGTATCACGCGATCATTTCAGAACTTCACCATAACATTCTTTGTTATTCCATCATTCCATTTGAAAATTCCAGTTTGAAGACGTAGAGATGATTAAAATAAATGCGACAAATTGCACTGAAGGTTACCTATTCCGAAAACTGACTTCCATAACTGCTTTGGGATGTGGAAGCACCGGTGGAAGCGTGTTATTCGGTCGAATGGAGATTACTAGGATGCCACGAGCCGGATTATGATTAGATTCAGCACGGAATGACGAAGATCCGATACTTTTGGGACAGACCTCAAATACATAATAAAAAAATATATACTATTATACATGATAAAAATCAATAATTTTGTCATACACAAACACTGTTGACGTCAGCTTCATGGCCGAAGAATGTTTGTTTAGCTTTTTCCTCCCTTACGTCCCATAGTTTGCAGGTCTTATCGACTGAGCCTGTCACATAAGTCTTCATATCTGAAACAATAATGTATAATTGTTAAAAATGTAAAGCCATTTCATTCCATAAAAACCATTTTATCATTAGTGTAGTCTATAGTGTCTTCATCTAGAAGTTCGCAAAGATCATGTAAGTCAATGGCAAAGATCGAAATATCAGTGAACCATGAATGGTTTATAACGGGCGTATCAATGCAATAGCGTAAATTATCTGTTTTATTCGCGTACTTTGCCCAACTTAAAACTAATTAATTAATTATTAAGAAATTTTTAAACATTATAGTTCTGCTGGTAGGGGAATTTGTAGATTAATTGTATAACAATAATTTTCTTTTGCTTAGGCGGGCAACACTGACTTTTTTCTCCTCAAAAAATCTTTTATTAACGGCATGTATAAGTCAAAAATATTAATTGAAATCATTAACTTACAAATAAATGGACAACGGGTCTAATACAAAAACCACGAACAAAAATGTCCCAAGTCAACCTATTTAAACGTAGTGACATGTAAAGGAATATGAAAAAGCTAAAACGTTGAATTTAAATTGTAATGTCATCGCAATACTGTCGAACAAACGAAGACTAAAGCGCGAATGACGCTCTGTATACGATTTTAACGCCCTATAAGTTCGGACACTTTTTAGCGCGGACCCGACGTCCATATAATTGTAAGTCAATGATTGAAATATAATGTTTTTTTTATGCCAAGTGCGGGACAAACACATCGTGCGCCTGATGGTTAGCGACACGCCTATCTCGCAAAGATCGGAGAGTTACTGCCCTTGCACCCTGAGACATTAGTTGACATGTCTCATGTGCCTGTAATTACACCAGTACCGTTACCCTTCAAAACCGAAAAACAGTGATTCTCACATTACTGTTTGGAGCCAGAAATAGGCAAGTCCATTGCTTTAAATTCAGATTTCATTTTATTCGTACAACTAACTCTTTATAAATACAAAATGTCTTTACACCGCAGTTTATATGCTGTATTTCAATGGTTCCATGGAGTATGTTGCCTTTTATAATTATTGAAATTTAATGAGTAGATTTAGTATTACCGTTTTATTTTAGACAAGAAGGGCAACTCCCGCTTATTCGGCGCGTAAAAATGTCTATATCTCACTCGGAGCGTAGGGTTGGCACATTATTATTTTAATTGTACCTGCAGGTTGTAAACATAATTTGAAAAAAATAAGGCGTTCATCACAGTAGTGGGAGTGGGATAATGACATAGAAACGAAATTTTAACAATTATGAATTTGAGGCGCTTTTGTTCGAACAATCGCAAACATAACAATAAACACGTCATATTTGATGTCATTTTTTATTATTTTATAATTCCATAATGAATGGCACGTGAGACGGTCTACCCTATGCAACGCGAGTGCATCACGAGATTATGCGAATGTGTGCGTTTACACGGTGCGTGTAGGGCGTGCACACATACAAACCTCGCTGCTACGTTTGTATAGAGTTATACTATTAATATTTCCACTAACAATTGGCTATACTACTAATAATAGGCAACACGGAGCAGGTAGGATAGCGAGATTCCGTGCAAAGTGGGTACCGCTTGAGCAGTGCTGCTTCTACGCAACCTGTAGGCTTTACCCGTGTTATACGTATGTGTGTACTTAGTGAGTTTAGTTAACAAAAATTAGTTAAAAGTTAAAAAGTTAAAAGTTAGTTAATTTTTTAGCATTCAAATTAATTAACACACCTGGTGCCAACGAAATGGTTACGACATCTCCCGCGTGTGCGTCGAATTCCTTTTCCCGTTTGCCAGCCTCCAAATTCCAAATGCATCTGTTGAACAGCACAAACAGTAAATTGTACCAAGCAAAATACCTGTCACAGAGTGCGCATCTAGCCCACTAGTTATTTTTTTATTAGTAATTAGCTTATTGATCTATAAAAGCGAATAATACAGAAACTCATACATAATGTAAATGATACATAATGTAAATTCACGAGTACAATAAGTAAATCGATTTGTTAAATATTTGAGAAACTAGATGGTACACGTTAAACAAGTTTTGTAAGCGTCACGCCTGTCCATAACAGTTGTTGTGCCGCTCAGGGCTTGAAATCACAAAGATCTGTGGGGCACTGCCACTGCGCCCGTCACCCTGACACAAGTTGACAAGTCCCAAGTGCCTGTAACTTCACCGGTACAACCGAAACACAGTAATGCTCACATTACTGCTTGGCGGCAGAAATAGGTAAGGTGGCAGCACTTTCCTGGGTGAACTCTTTAGCAAGGAGCTATACTGTTACCAAAATACAGTCGTTGCCCTAAGATACCTGACCACGTTACCGACCTTTTGATTCGAAGAGGCTTACGCATTAAACAGAAAAGTGTAAAATAATTCCAGTTTTTTGGTTGAACTTTGTATTTCTGTAATGTAATTAAAAGTCAAATTGACTTGGACATTTTTGTAAATCGTCGTTCATTAATAAGCTAACCATACCAAAATGAGTTTAACTGCTCACTGGTTAAAGGTTAAGTTTGTTAAACACCTTTCTTCTCAGAACCAAATCAAGGATTACGAGGTCAGGTAGGTGTCTTAAGGCATCGACTGTGCGTTGTACTTGCATTATTTTCAATACACTAACATTTTCATATCGCCGGAACCAGTGAGAATGTGAGAGTCATCGAGGAATCGGCAGCTGCTGAGGAAGCCCTCGTAACCAGCCAGCTCGCGCACCATCTTAGCCGCACCCGTTGAATCCCGATTGTTCAAGTCGTAGATCGTGCACATGTTGTCCATTCCTCCGCAAGCTACGACGCATCGTATGAAAATTTTCTATCATGGGAGCGAATGTTTACATAATCATACATTATGTTAGCCAAAACGTTTAATCGAAATCAGAAGATGATTGAAGTCATTCTGTTCTCAGTGGCCGATGTCGTTATCACAATTTAGCCTTTTTTAACCGTTTTTCTAAATATGTCCATGAGTAATGAAACTATTTTGGTATCTAAGTTTCGTATATTGTTTTTTTGAAGCAAACAATTTTTCGGGTCCTATATAGGTCCCGTGGTCACGGCTGACCAAAACAAATATTATAACTTACATTTCCTATGTGTAAGGGCGTGTTCCCATTATGTCATAATATATTTATATAAAATTTTGCATAACATTGGAAAATATATATATTCGTGTGCCGCGAAACAATGAAAGAGAAAATCGTAAAAAAGATCTTTTTGTTGTTAAGTAAAACATGTTACGGTAGCAACAGTTTCATAAAAAGGACTTGTTCCTTTTACTATGCAAAGTGTTGTGAAGTTGACATATTTGATTCTTCTTTGCAGGAGTTTAAAAGTCACATCAGCAAATCAGATTTTAAAATGGTTTCGTATGCTCATCATTAATTGTTCAATCGCTCTTTGTTTTGTTTAAGTTCATTATATATATTTATTTTTTAATATTATTACTTACATAATTACAGTATTATAGTGAAGTTACGAAGTGGTTGTAGAATAGTGTAGTGAAAAAAAAGCATGTTTTTATTAAGCATTGATCGTATTTGCAGATGGTATAAACCATTTACTTGTTCACTTATAAGTACAGGGAATATAGGTTTAGTAATAAGTTAAAAGTATTTTTATTTTATAATTTGTTTAAGACTGTTTATTCCTCAATAAAAAGAAAAAAAATGTCGTAACGCTTTATATATCGTTGGAATATTGTCGCGTCTAGTCTGTTCCCATATCACGACTGTCTATCGTGACTGTGTCGTGGACGTTTATTTTATCGTTGAACGATGTCGTGTCTAGCTGTTGCCACTAGCTCGTTCACGGAAGCCGCCGTTAATCGAGTTGTTTATGTGGGAACAACTTCATTTAAATATGCAAGCTACGACACTTTAAACTGCACGACTATCTGTCGTCACGACATCATGGGAACGTGCCCTAGCAATCGCGAAAACCTAAGAAATAAGTAAATAAATAATAATAATTATAAATATTAGACGACATCATATACGTTGCTCTGATCCTAAAATAAGTAACTAAAGCTCTGTGTTATGGAAATCGGAAACAACAACGGTACCACAAACACCCAAACCTGACACAATATAGAAAAGTTAGTTTTTCTACATTGACCTGGCCAGGAATCGAACAAGGGACCTCAGAGATGGCGACAACATGAAAAGCGGTAAGCAAGCCACTCTACCACGATGGTCGTCGATGAGTGTGTTCATTATCTGATTGTGCAGAACATAACATATCTTGCAGGCATAATAAAATTATCATACAATTCCACCGCTACGGCCGTACAATATATTTTGTAATACATAAGGGCATAATTAAAAACAATAATCATTATTAAAAAAGCAAAATATGACCTATTGTATACAACTAAGTATGATTGACAGTAAATAAAAAAATTACCAACAAAATTTCCAGACGGCGCAAAAGCGACGCTCATTACCCAAGCAGAGCGCAATGGTATAACCTGGACCTTGTTTCCGCTCCACGTATCCCATATGATTAGTTTCCCATCCAGAGACCCCGTCACACAGTGCCTGAACAATCACACGTCAGTAAATATACCACCCACTGACCATGACATATAATATAAATGTGTACCTTATACCTATATCATTTTCCTCTAATTTTCTAATTATTGCATAGCATTTTTGAAAATATACTTATGATCACACTTTTCGGTAAGGTAAGTGTGCACTGTGGCATAATGGTGCCGTTGACGTCTATTTTATTAGAAAATGTATGCAAACATCCACATCATGAACTCTAATAAATGAAATTAATTGATTGATGATGGATCATAAATTGGTTGCCTCAATGAACTCACATGAACTTGTTAGAAATGGATCTCATAGTTTTCTGATTCAGATATTTGATGTTAAACTCTGTGGTGAGGAGATGCTATTTCTCTTTTAAGCATGTTTAGACTGTCTTTGTTATTTAGCTCGTATGGCCCCACTAAGGAGATCATGACGTTATTACAAATGGATTACTGTCGATTCTTTCTAACCCTTGATGGCGGAATGTTGGTGAGTATTTTATGATTCAACTTATTTTCGCTTAACATTTTCACGTCTAGCGTCATCAAGCGTATAATTTTTAATACCATATACTCAACGATAATATAGATAATAATATAGGATAATATAGACAAAGGAACACAAGTTGATAATTAGTAATGTTGCAAGAAATAGTATTTCGGCTTCAGGCCGAATACCAAACAATCGACCAATGGCGGATCGACTAGCCGAATATTCAGCCTAATCGTTCGTCTTGAATTAACACCACTTCATATATACATTAAGTCAATTGTGACAAATAGTTTCGTGAATTGAAACAAAAACTTACTTTAATTTTAGACTTATATTTATTACTTGAATGTAGAAAATAATAATTAATAATAACGCACACATGCACTCATAGATAGCGTTTATTTAGTCACGAATAAACTAATAAGTAGGTAGTTTTCTTTTGTTGTAATACCTTTTTACATTTCATAAGAAATATCTTAGTTATGTTACGTTTTCTTTGATCTTTTAGATAAACAGTGAGAAAGTGCGCTTTCGCGAACTTACAATATACGTTCAGCATTAATAAAAGTTACATGTTAATTTACTATGTTTTCTTATTTATTATATAGAAGTATTTGGTACTAGTAGAAAACAGGCCGAATAAGCCGAACACCGTATACAACAAAAGAAACGTTACCAAATATTCGTTGCAATTCTTACTTAGTGTAATACAAATAATACCAATTGCTAATATTATCTAGGTGACACTGGTTTCAAAACCTAAGCATACAGACAGTAGTATAAACAAATCAAATGCAGAAGCGAGGAGAGAGAGGTCGAATCAATTTTCCTTAAATGTCTGCAACAGACGTTGCCAACTTATGCAACGGAGCTGAACTAATTTTAAGACGCCACTGCCTTCTCGAGTTGTTTGAATAAAAGCTAACTGTATAGCTAAATATATAGGAGACAAAACAATTCGCGCAGCCGAAAAATGCAACATACTTAATATCGCACTTCTTTAGGTACTAACATAATATTAATTACGTAGGTAAACATAAACTTACCTGGAGTCACCGCTGTAGTGAACAGAGTTAACTTTGTTGATATGACCTTTCAGAGTTTTTTTTGTTGTAAGTCTTATCTTTGGTACGTCAGCCAAGTCGCTACATTTTTCGGCCAGTTTAGCATCTGCGACTTTTTCTTGATCCGCCTGTAAATAATATAATACCAATAATACGTAATCACAAGGTACTTTACCTATTGTATAATTGAATTAGAATATTATAAAGCTTCAAACCTTGGTAGACACTATAGATACACAAGAACAATTCATCAGTAAGTTTAAAATACCTTTACTTGAGCTATCAAGTCCGTTAATTCATTTTTGAGCGTTGTGGTCTCTGGGTCTTCCTTGGGCATATTTCTAGCAAACTTGTTTTTGCTGTACAGCCAAGCAGTGGATGCGTCTTTAGACAACCGACCTGACGATCGTAGTGACTCTTCTAACCTGTCAGCTCTACCTTCATTCTACTTATAATACAATTACTTAAATTGGATTTCAATTTACTGTTCAACTGAAGCTTTACATGTGCGTGATAGATCTTACTGTGTACATCCCTACGTGACACACTTTGGTAGAGATACGATTATGCGATTATTATGATAAAATACTTTTAATCTTCACGAGTCTTAATTATCCAAATCATATTGCAAAATACATTATGATTTGGTAATATACGTCACATACTTCACAATCCGTAGAGTGAACTCGGTTATAGTTCCTTCGAGGATAAAGTATTACGTGTCACTACACGTAATACTGGATTATTTGTATTGCCCTTCAATAAGGGCAACACAAAATTATCCAAGCATTTGTTTGACAAAAATACCTATATCTTAAACAAACACCCAAACTCTTTCACATGCTTATATATATACATTTAAATAACCAGATATATTTTTTAAATCCTTTAATCCGCACGTTCTACATCAATTTTGCTTTTGACTCTGCTATAAACGCAGGTTTTTAAGTATAAATTGCATTTAAGTACTGAGTAATAATAATATAATAATAACGCACACACTTAACACGTGTCACGGGGGCCATGGACACACACATAGACAACCACAAGTTACACCTAAAATCACGAGAGAAATAAATGTAAGCCATACGAATATTTATCCCGGCCCGGGAATCGACACTGGGACCTCTGGGTGGCAGTCCGGCATGGTAGCCGTTCGGCCATGGAGACCCGTTTATTATTTGTTGCTGTAACAATGATGCAAGTTAGATTTGAGTGTATTCAACAGAAACGCCACTGAGGCGCGACCGTAAACTAGATGCAACTTTCTCTATGTTGAAGATTTCTTTTTTTGCGATAAAAGCTAAGTAAGGGGCTGTATGTATTTTGCTTTCGGTAGTTTCCACAGTTGAAGTCCCAGTTGTGTGTTATTAATCATCATTACCTTATGCTACAATTGTCAGTTGGTAAATAAGATACTTTTGCACCAGTAGTGCGTCATTTCGAGTGCATTAGTTATTGTGTGTGCCATCATCACACTATTGTAATCCGCTTCTGGTTATAGACCTCACCCTATGTGCGCTATTTCGCCCCGTTCTTAGCCTGTTGCATTTATTTAATGCTAGTATCTTTTCGTAGATTGTCACTCCATCTGGCCGTTGGACGTACTACGCTACGTTTGCGTATTTATTAAAATTAAAAAAGAATAAGATTTTATTCTTCACTGTACGTACTGAATAAAAAGTCACATCGTAAGTATAGTGAAGGAAAAAGGAATTCGAGAACGATTCAAAATTTTAAAAATAAAAGATAAAATTTCTACACGGCATTACTTGGATGCAATGGGGAATTAATTATTTTAATGATGACGATAAGTGGTTTATTATTACTACCACGTACAATTTTTCTGTTAACTATGCATAAAATGCAGTTAATGGCTTTTGGTACTGAATGAGTTTTAGCTATAAAGTAACGAAAATTTCGTTCCAAATTAAAACTTGAATTACGTTATCCACTAACCTAAGCATAGGCAGTAAAACCAAAATCCGAATTCAAGTATAACCACGAAGAGCCTTCTAACTAACATCCTTATAAAAAGTTATGCTGTAATGTATTAAGAAAATATTCTAACTCAAAAAAATCGCTAACTGCTTAACCATATAAACATATACTTTTATGACGAATAGTACATATTAGTCATTTCCCATTGGCTTGCCGTAAGAAATAGGTTATACTATTATGTAATTGATTTTGTAGTACTCTTTGTCTAAGCCTTGTCTACTGGTAGGGTTTCTGCTTGAGATTTCTCAAGAAATCTTGAGAAATCTGGCCAACTTCGAGACTAGAAAAATATCCTCGAGAACTCAAGAAGTCGAGAAATCAAATTACCTTTTTTAATTACTTGGCTTAAATGTTATACGAACATTATTGCTACTGATCGTTCTCGTTAAGGTTGCCTAAAAATTGCCGCAGCCAGGCGGCGCGACGCTGCAATGTATTAAAAAGAGCAATGCGTCATAAATCTTTTTTCTTGATAATAAGGTTACGTTGTTTTAAACAAAAAATTAAAAACAAATTGCAGAAGCGCAACGAACGGCGTCAAACTGTGCCGGGAGAATTTATAATGTGCAATATCCTATAGAACATTATTCTCTATTAAATAAATAATAATTAAATATATTAAACAAATCTATTCTACGAAAAGAGTACTGCACTGCACAAGGCGGTGACTCGCGGCGTAAGCTATCCAACTTGTATCGCCACGTCTAATACAAAGTATTACTTAGCTTTTCAACAATATAAGTATAGGTATTTGTTTGAAAAACAATCATCATCGTCGGGTCGGGCGTTTCGCGAACTTTGATGTTTGTCTTAGAACAGAACACCCAAACCAGAACCAATTTAATAATAAAAAAAATGTAGAAAAGGTTCTTTCCCTAAATTGGTCCTACCGGGTGTCAAACCCTGGACCAAGAGCCATGGAATTCGGTCCGCGGCACTACACAACACAGTCAGGCTTTAACCACTTTAGAAAAGTTTATGTAAATGATGTTTTTCTTTATTATAGTTGAGTGCGCTGATATTTTTAGGTTTTTAAAAATTTCTTGAAAAACTCCAAAAATTCGAAAAATCGGGTGTGAGAATTCTCGAAACTCGAGAAAAAAAAATTGTCGTGATATCACAAACCCTACTACAAAGCAACTGTCCCTTTCACACGTATGATAAAACGACCATGTCACGTTTTGTTTCAATTACGCGCATTATTAAAGCATGTCAATGCGATTGCGATCGAATTGTGGCAGAATTAGAGTAATTAGCAATGCACAAGTAACAGGATTGTGTACAATGTTAAAGTTACCTACCATTGGTCATACTTATGAGACATCACAAAGAGTATTTATTATCAATATCGTTGATTTTATTCTGAAAAACTGTTGCACAACGATATTTCGTCGTATTAAATATATATGGAATAGGTATTCGTCAGTGGCACAATAACTACATTACCATACATACCGAGATATATTACTTTAAGGTTACAGAAAAAGTTTACGAAAATGCTTTAATTCAGATTCATTTTATGAAAGTGAATAGGTATAATACTACTGTATTTTAAAAAAGGATTTGACATTGCGATTTGTCACATTGATTAGGTAATAATAATTTACCTATTACGAACGATTGATACATATATACATATATATTGATTTCTGCCGCCCGGGGCCAAAATTTCTTTCCTCTATATTTTCAAGATTACAAAAGTAATTTGTTCGGGCAGGCTCGCTCGGCTCGATTGTGTTCGTCTCCACCTATGTGTTGTTCAATATATCGTTTTCTCAAACAGTGGAATTTAATCTCTAATTTTAAATTTAAAAAAGAATTTTACTAGCCAGGTTTCGCCGCCGCCCTTTTAAGCAAAAAAAAAATAAAAAAATTGACCAGTTAGGCCTCGGCGCCGCCCCCACTGTTGTGCCACTCGGCGCCACGCATGGCCCCCTCTGTACCCCCACGCTACGCAACTGATTACGATGTCTTCACTACTATTCACCTATCGTATGGTATGGTACTTATGGTAGCTACCATTTAGAAATGGTAGCTGCTAACAAGTGATGGACACAACAAACTCAGAATGATTGAACTGTAAGTAGGTATCCCTCCCGGATTTAGTGCAGATTCGATTCTATCCTAAATTGTCTTTTGGAACAATGTCTGTACCTATTCACGTTTAGTTTCACTTTCATTTCATGGTTCGTGGCTTTCTGAAATAGAAGAATAAAAACTAACAAAAAGTAACTCTCACATTTTACGGTACAATCAATGTAATGGTTGTATCGACATCGAGATTGCAGTCGATCGCCGAAGGCTTCCGCGACAACAAGATGCGGGGACATCGGTGCTTCCCACTCAAATGTTGCGTCTGGGTATTGGCTATGTTTATTGCCCTTCGCCGTGGGACCCTTTCTCAAGAGTTCTGCTCTAAAGATTCTCAAGAGGAAGATTGCAAGAAGCAAAATTTTTTTCACAAAGGTACTTAAACTTTTGTATATAACATGTTTATATTTAGTTTTGATTTTATTCCTGCTTTGCGAAAATAGAATAAATTATGTACAATGTATTTTTTTCTTATGTGTTCATTTCAACTATTGTGCGGGACAATGTGCTTCATAGTCCTCTGAAGTTGAGTAGAAGTAGTAAAACTTTTTGTCTTTCGGGACACGCTAAGCCGTCTAATTAGTCATGATGCCAGGTCTTGAATTTTTATTTTTTTCCAAAATTTTAATTTTCTAAATTTTGTTTTTCGCGGGAAATAGTTATGAGCTTAGAATAATAACGCATATGAGGTTGTTTCATAGAACCATGTGACATGGACAACGTGGTAGTAATTTTTTTTTTCTTGTAGTACATTTCAAATTAAACTAATTTTAATTAAGATTAAATCAATGATTTAATTGTACAAAGATTTTATGGTACTTTTTTCATTGGTAATTTTGCTTCTAAAACGTAGACGAGTTCAAAAATTTATGACAACGTTCTTTTATAAATTTTCACCCTTATTTTTCACCCATCTATTTGGGTAGGCAAAGGTTTCACCCACAGACCATATAAATACCATAATAAATACCAGGTAGTTTCACCTTACACCCTTTTCTTAAAAAATTATGACAAATGACAACCGCAAAATTGGAAATTGATTTTTTTATTATTATTTGGTTAAATATCGAAATTAAAAAAAAACTTACAATGTTAACTTTCTTCGCATTCAGTTTCATTCTAGTTGTAAAAGTTGTAATATCAAACAACCCCATTAAAGGCTGCAGTATATTCCCTTGACAAGAAGTGCATCTGATTATACGTATATTCACTCCTTTTATGTTTTTTAACTAAATATATTCTTTTCCATGTAAATAATTATTATGTACATTTTTGTAAATGAAAAATGATATCACTGGGTCATGATTCCAACTGGAAACTTTTAAAATAGTTACCACCACATCTTATTACCCTATAATTGAGTTGGTATATATTAGTATATAAATATTTAAAAATAGTAATTGCCGTATTTTCACTATTTACTTCTAAATTGTATAAACATTATAGTATTATTGTAATAGGAATTATTGAGCTTAGAATTAATTTGTAGCCGCATGCGGCATTTGTACTAATCTAAATGCATATTACTAAGGCACATTCGAATTTAATATTTTGTCGTAAACACGTTAGAAATAAAATAATGACTTACTTATGGTCGTATTCTAGAACTCTATCCAATGCTCAAGTCAGGATTGCACTGGAAACACAAGCACTGGAAATACGACCCTAATGGCAGAGACTTGAGTATGATTTCGAGTGCTTTAAACCATACTCAAATCCTGACTTGAGTATTGAGTAGAGTTCTAAAATACGACCGTTAGATTCTATGTAGATACTTTACTGTAGTTACTTTTATATTTTCGTAATTAGTTTTTTTTTAATATTTTGTAGCTTCTAAACGTTTTATTCTATCGGGAAAAATCGGTAAATTAAAAAAAAATGTTCTGTTTGCTTAAATGTCACCATTTGGACTTGCATTCGATAAACTTCAAAAATGTGTAACAGATTAGTTGTACATTTCTAAACCTACTTAAGAAGACAAGTGTTAAGATTTTAAATTTATTTTAGACCTTTAGACCTTTGTGCAAGATGATGTGAGCGTTATGTAATACACAATCTATAGATACGATGAAGTGATTAAATATAGCGGTAATCAAGTCTTTATACTTAAGAAATTTCAAATAATAGCCATTGACATTTATATTTTATTTCTATTCTTATGGCACAAAACATAGGTACTAGGTTACAAGTAAAACAGCGAGTAAATAAAACTCTGCGAAAATAAAAAGCTAAAATGCACAAAGTTGAATTTCACATGGATGAAATTGCATGAGACTCTTGTTAATTTTATACCATAGTAACAATTACTGTAATGAAGATTTTGCTACAACCATTTATCAACGATATCAGCCAGCAAGACCGTATTGTCGCAGTTTTGTAGGGTGACGGGCGCAGTAGCAGGCCTCTCAGATCTTTGCGATTTAAAACAGACCCCTAGTGTCACTGCAAATGCTATGGATTATGGACATGCGCGTCGCTTACCGCCAGGGGAACCACTTGTTCGTTCCGTAACTTGTTACCTGTCATAAAAAAATATATGTAGATAAAATAAGTTCACAATCCCTATGAAAAGTTGCATCTGCTGACTGTTTGGTTAAATCGTTTGCCTTATTAAATAATAGTCGAGGTTCTTATCTCCGACTATAACAGAAACTAAGTATTTGATACTTAGTATCTAAATAGTATTTCGATTGGAGGCCTGAGAATGCTGCTTTAAATCAGCTATGTAAAGGCTCATTAGTTCAATTAAAATGCCGCAAAGACAGAGATGATGGTTTTCAGGGCTGGGAGAGCTCCGGAGAAGGTTCCGGATGTTTTCCTGAACGGTTCACTAGTAAAGAGTGTGCAACACTTTAAATACTTGGGCCACGTCCTTACAGACGACCTTCGCGATGATTTAGATATTGAACGATAGCGGCGTGCTTTATGTTTAAGAAGCAACATGCTTGAGCCCATTTTTGCAAAATGCAATAAGCAGGTCAAGGTGACCTTGTATAGGGCTTATTGCCAACGTATATACAAGTGTCAGATGTGATGTACCAGCTTCACTAGGATTTCTTACAACAATCTAAGAAGTTTTTTAGTGGTAAGCGACAAGCTGGCGTGCAAAAGAGGAGTCCTATACCTAGCAGTGGGTGTTAACGGGCTAAGATAATGATGATGATGGAGCGACACGCCTATCCATAACAGTTGTAGTGTCACTCTTAGGGGCATTGCCACTGCGCCCGTTACCCTGAAGCAGAAGTTGACAAGATCCATGTACCTATAATTTCATCAGCACCCTTAACCCTCCCAAACCGGAACGCAGTAATATGCTCACATTACTTTCTTGGCAGAAATAGGTAAGGTGGGACAGGTACAGGGAAGCACTTTCCAGGACGAACTCTTTCACAAGGAGCTCAACTGCTACTAAAAATAGAATGTATCCTGGTGAAGCTGCCTAGATTGTACAGTGCGTAGAATGTTTGCGGAAGCCCACATTCCGGAATTTTTCGCCATGTTGCGAGCGAGTATGGCTTCATTTTGGAAAAGAGTGCTTACATCTACAATGCAATGCAATCCTGAGAGCAGTTTGTGACACGTTCTTCGATAGGTCTATTTTTAAATAATGGATGTCTGTCCACCGGGATGCGAATCGTAAATGACAATTAGGTAGGTACCCATTTAGTGATAGTGCTTAACTTGTTTTAGGTCATACTTTATTTTATTATATCTTATAATTTATGCTATATTATGTAAAGTTTATTAATATTTGTGTTAATGGGTAATCAAAATGTCCTAATTTTTGTAATTCTTGTATAAATAATTTTATTATTATTATTATTAGTAAAAATTATATTTCGTAGGTAGGCTTTTTTGCAAATTTTTCATTGACATTGGATATATAAAAAAATAGTTTTATGAAACGAGAAAAAATTAACCTTCGTATGACACTATCCCAGTGTGAAGTTCAAATTGGGCGCTATTCAATTTCTTCATTAAATTGTCTAGCTTAAAAAGTTATAATTGTAATCTGGACTATCGGGAATGAGTTAATATGAAGTATAATTTTAAAAAAAACGATACACATGTTTTGACAATTTTTTATAGTGTTGCTGTTGTCATTGATCCCATTTCGAAAACTATTATTCGGATGTACTAGTATTAACTGTTAATATCCTCTTTGTCGCATTCTTTATCTTCCGCTAATTGCCCACACCTACCTTCAGAGAAATGGCATTATTATTGAGTCTAAATTTCACTTTCAACTGAAAACGTAGATACAGGTACCCCAATAATCTATTACATATTATTAATATTTGTTAATAGAAAGCAGATCTAAATACAAATATTTATGCCGGCAATTATTATAGACCACAAATTGCCAAGTAGGTACTATTTAAAATGTTTATTAACTATAATGTAATTCCTAGGACAATAGGGTACTTTATTGACCTATTTTAATAACATCATTGAGCACTAGCCGTTTCTCTTGTTGGGACCTTTCCAATCTTATAAAACACCTACAATACCTAGGACAAATAATTTCATACGAAACATAAAAAAATCAAGCTCTTATTGAGAAGAGCTTTCCAATAACAACACAAGATTCGGGACAACTTTGCTCCCAGTATAACGCAATAACAAATACGTTCGCAGAATTAATATCGGTTGGCTAATAAGTGTAGGCAGTTATTTACGAAGTGAACATTACTTATTATTTATGAAAAATATGCTTCTATACAGCTACTGTGGAAAATAGATATTTTGCTGTATTTTTTTTAACTTTTCGTAAGTAAATTCTTTGTAGTAACTTGCAAATGTAAACGCACTGTCACACTTTATTTCTTCCATCCAGAAACCTCACCTGAAACGCACCCTGTCGCTCACTATTTGACGTAGTTTGTCAATTGGCAATGACATTAGAAAAAGCTTTGATTGGAATTGGAACAATGATTGGTGAATTTGCAGTTTATTCGTTTTCAAGCTCAATTTTATACTGTGCGCGTGTGTTCATGTTATCATTTGGACTCAACTAGACTATGCGAGCAAACGCAAGCAGAAACGTACTGTATTATTATTGTATCATCAGCGTAATTGAAAATCACGCGCGGTCCCCGAGAGTAATGAAATGAAATGATCTCATTGTTTGAGTCAGTTGAGATCTTGTAGCGAGAGGAAGCGGTCAAGTTATCGCTGTAGTCTTGACCAGAGTTGGCCGTAGATACCTACGTACTTAGCTACTCATTGGCTATAAGCTTATCGCGTTTGTCGGAAGTGGGAGCCCAGTATCTGGGATACTGGGGTAATATACATGTACAGTGAACTCAGTTTAGCTGGCATTCATTTTTAACGAGTTCCAGTTTTAGGAAGTACATTGAACCCAGTCATCATTATGGATAAATCTGGAAACAGAACTAGCATTTTAATTTGTTGTTTATTCTTAACACTAGCTGCAATTGTGTGTGGAGATGGTAAGCATTAAACATTCTGTAGTGCAAAAAGCTTGCGTATAAATTGTATTAATTATATTCAAGTGTTTAAGAAATATTTGCTGTGCAATTCCAGACTATCTGCTGTGCTCTGTAGAAGGTTAAATTATTTATTTTATGCCAAAATCTTGTCTTCAGTGTTTGGTATCTGTATCAATAAAAAAATCTGTATAATTTTAATAAGTAATAAGACTCATGCAATTACTTTTTGTTTTTGTTTCATGAATACAAAAATCTATGACAAAAAAATTATTAAGTGTGTAGTGTCCTTCATTATAATCCCTTTGAAAGTAAAATGCAAAACTCTTAATTATTACCATTAGTCAATTTGGCTTTTAAAGGAGTTTTACTTTTAAATTGAAGATATGTACTAGACCTTTATAGATTTCAATATTTAAATTTCATTGTCTGTGCGTGGAATGTTTTTAAACTATTATATATATTTTAATCAATGCAATTATGTGTGTGTTGGAGGGTATGTGACGGTTAGTAATACTTCTAATCATGTTTATATAAATAAGCCTTATACTTATTGCAGATGATGTGACTGTACTGACTGTAGCCACTGAAGATAATCATGGTCTGCAACGCTTTTTAAGATCTGCTAAAGTATATGACATTGATGTACAAATTCTGGGCAAGGGGGATGAATGGAAAGGAGGAGATATGTCTTATGCTGGTGGTGGTCATAAGGTTAATTTACTCAAACAGAGACTGAACGAAATGATGAAGTCTGAAAACAAAGAAAAAATTGTCTTATTTGTGGACAGGTACTGTTACATACTTTTCAGTGCGTATAGATTGCGATTTGCATTGGCAAATACTGTCCCATTTTATTGTTAATTGACTGATTGTATAATAACTTCTAGAAAATAATTAAATTTCTGCCCATATGAACCAATCACAATATCACTTTATTTTCCAGTTATGATGTACTATTCCTGGCGAATTTAGACAAAATAGTCGAAGCATTCAAAAAGTTTCCTGATACTCGAGTACTGTTCTCTGCCGAAGTATACTGCTGGCCGGACACCACATTGTCTACCCGGTACCCGGACACAAAAGTTCCTTATCCATATTTAAACTCTGGAGGATTTATAGGTATTCAAAATTCATTAATTGCCTGCGTGGCCGAATGATTACCAGTCTAGACTGCCTCGCAAGAAGTCCCAGGTTCAATTCCTGGGCCGGGAGAAATATTTGTATGGCCTACATTTATTTATAAAGTGGTTTGGGTGTAATTTGTGGGTGTCTGTGTGTGTGTGTGTCTATGGCACCTGCGACACAGGGTTTCCCTAGTGCGGGGCTATGAGTGTGTGCGCGTTATTATTATTATTAATTTTCCACTATAGTTTCACTATGTTGTTAATTTATAGTAACTTACAGTGATCTTTACATTTAATATATCACTAACCATAAAAATTTTCTTTATCACAGCAAAGCTAGACTATATAAGATCTATAATGGAACATTAAGTCAGTCAAATCAATAAAATCAAACGGATGTTAGTACAATTTGAGCATTAGTGCCATATATTAAAGTCAATAAGTCTGAATTAAATTTGTATATTTTGCTATTAATTACTTTACAGGCTACTTACCCGAACTTACTGAGATAGTCAATTTTCAATCAATCAATGATAAAGATGATGATCAGCTTTACTACACCAAGATATATTTGGATCAAAATTTAAGACATATACTTAAAATATCTTTGGACCACAATGCGGTTATATTCCAGAACCTTAATGGTGCAACGTGTAAGTATACCCAATGAAGCATTGCAGTGAAATATTGTAGACATCAGTGATGGAAGTGATACTAAATTTTCTTTTTTTAGGGGATGTGCAACTCAAAGCAAACTACACAGAACAGTGGCCTTATATTGAAAATGTAGCAACCAAACAGTTGCCTCTAATTTTGCATGGGAATGGACCATCCAAACTGACCTTAAATCACTTAGGAAATTATTTAGCCAAAGCTTGGTCAGCTGCAAATGGCTGTATGCTCTGTAAAGAGAAGAGGATGTTGCTAAAGGTTTGCCTAACTATTTATAGCCAACGTAGCTAACAAAACAACAATGAAAATATTTCTTAACATTTTGACCGCCACTGACAAAAACTAGTTCCGTTCCCAAGACGCCAAGATGTGACATGTTATGAATCCATACTTAACTAGAATATAGAAATAATACATGGAATATCTTAATATTTATTTATTAATTTCAGCTGAAAATTAAAGGGTTTCTTTGACGCTTTAAGGCATCATTGGCGTATTAACTAAGTTAATGTAAGACGCTTTATAGCGTCCACGGTGGTCAAAGGTTTAAAGAATATTCTAGAGCAAAAGTTGATTAAATTTTACCTACGTCTTAACACTCATCAAAAAGCTCAAGTCAAAAATTGGCGGTTTTGACTTTTGAATATGAATAAATTATACATGGTGACTTGTAAAATACTAACCACCATGCAGGACTTTATTACTAACATCATAACGTTTGTTCTTTGATTTTTTACAAAACTTATTTACCGAATTTAAAGTTTAAAGTTTTTAAACTTTATTTCTGGATTTCCCCTGTCATCGGTATCATTTGGTTTGAACACTTTAGCAAGATGATTTGCAATTGCCTCAGATCTTTCCAGGCCCATGCCCATGTGTTTCGAGATCTGACTGAATTTGCATTGATGTGGTTGAGACTGGCTCTTTGTTGCTTTGCTGTCTACTCTTTGTTTGATGGATTCATTTGCAGTTTCAGCAAGGAGAACTTTTAGGGCTTTTATCGCTCAGTTTAAACGTGTCCTGTCTGCTCTTTTGCGGGAGACCTGCCAAATTCTACGAAGGCGACGACGTTTATCGGCAAAAAGTTGAGTTGTTGTTAAACCAGGACTTGCAGTTGTGTTCTTCGCGTCGACCCACTTCTCCACGCGAACTGGCTAGAAAATATCGATGATGGACTCGAAAAAGACCCCTGGCTTCGACTTGATCTCTCCAAAGCTACTTAAGACGTTTACCATTGTGAGGTAATCAATGCTAAATAAATGCTAATCAATGCCACACTCAGAATCTCCCACGTACCTAACCTCTGGAAAATATCTCAAATTGTTATGATCCATAAACTCGGTAAGCCTGCTACCGAAGCCGCAATTATATTGAAACCAGTTTTATGAAAATTGTGGGAAAGGATAATCCTTCAAGACTCACTTCGCACCTTGACGAAAGTGGACTCATACCAGACCACCAATTTGGCTTCCGAAAACAACATTTAACTGTGGCAAGTGCACAGAGGCTATCACAGTAAGATAATGCGTAGAAAAAAGGAATACTGCTCCGTGGCTTTCGATCGGGTCGGCGACTCTAATACAAAATTAAAAACTACTCTCTCACTCATTCTTACCTCTGATGGTCTCCTACCTCACCGATAGAATGTTCCAAGTAAAACTTCGAGACGCGTAGTCTTCTCGCTTCAGCTGCTGTGTGGGAGTGCCCCAAGGCTCTGTGCTTGGCCCAGTGCTGTACACCTTCACTAGTGACCTACCTCAAGTTTTAAACGTAGCCGCAACCTACGCCGATCATGCCGCTTTCTTAACCTGTAATTGCGATCCCAATGAGGCAAGCAGAACGTTGCAACTCCAACTTAATGCCACCAATGCACGGGTAAACTTTTGGCGCATGAAAGTGAGCGTTCACAAAATCTCATCACATTACTTTTGCGCTTAGACGTGACACTTGCCCCTTGGTTAACTGAACTGACTACAAATCTCTTACGTCAAATATTTAATATTCATCATGGATCGTAGGATGACATGGAGTGACCATATAAAAAACAAAAGAACTGAGGTCAACTCTAGATACAGAAATCTCCTCTGGCTTCTGTAAAGACAATCCACCTTATCTCTAAGCAATAAGCTGAGAGTGTACTGCAGTGTAATAAAACCGTCTGTACTTCTGTACAATATGGTTGTTGACCATAATTGTATCAAAATCAAGCAAGCAAAATATACGCCTCCAAAGAGCCCAAAATAACATTCTTAGGGTATTAACTGTCTGCGCCCAGGTACGCTCGCAACTCCGAAATACACAACTATTTGGAAATGCCAACGGTTCTCGAAGAAGCTAAACGCTATACAGTTCACTACAGGCATCGACTAGGAGTTCATCCTAACCCATTGCCCCACATACTGATGTTGATGTGCTGTGCAATTAAGGGGAGATAAGGCAATGGCCTTAATCTGCTGGAACTCATCTGATTACAGTCTGGTTGGCTGATTGCAGAGTTAAAAAAAAAGATAGAAATCAAGCGTTCTCCCCGAAACGAACTCCACACGTCCTGTTTTGCATCGGATTGGTGTTTACGCTAGCGCTTTCTTTTGTTATCGCACAGAGTTATCACCATTTTGAATCTTTATCAATATTTTTATTTTTGTCGAAAGTAAAATATTGTGAATTATTAAAAAGCATGGAACAAAAGTTGTTGTTTATGATGATAGTAAAATAGTACTGAGAGTTTTAAATAGAAAACCACCGTGAGACTCAGACATATTAACTAAAATAACGAATAACTGACGTATTTAAAGTCGAATTTTTGCTCGCCATGTTTCGAACCAATTCGTGGTCCTTAATCATGAGATTCCGCGGCGGTGACTCGACGGAAACTGCGCGCCAAAGCCCAGGCAGCCCGACATGTCGAGCAAAAATTCGACTATAAAACGTGAGTTTTCCGTTATTTTAGTTAATGGTACTGCGAGGTTGTTAGTATTTTACAAATAACCTTGTAATACATATACAATTATTTATAAGTCATAAACAGAACACCTATTATTAACAATAGCTTGAAAAATCTTGTATGCTATAATGTATGTAGTTTCTTCACTCTCCCTTAAAATGATTCAAAATTACTTAAACAGTGTTCTTTGCTAAGCAACACATATGTATGTATTCTATTTTCTAGTCTAAATGCAGCCATTTTTAAGGCAATCCACATACACATGTATAATAGTTTACTACAGTTCAAATGTTCACATTTCTTCTTTCCAAGCCAAGATTGATGACGAGAGATTGTTACCTATAAAAACTTCAGAAAAAATGAATAACTTCTAAGCTTGCTCTGCGAAAACCTTACCAAACTTCTGAAAGTATAATTTACGCATACCTTTTGTTTAGGACGAGGAATTGCCAACAGTCATGATGGCTGTATTTATTGAAATACCTACGCCCTTCCTAGAAGAGTTCCTACAACAATTGCTGAATCTGGACTACCCAAAATCTAAGATTCACTTAGTCCTTAGGAACAACGTGGAATATCATGAGACTGAAGTTGAAGAATTCTTCGAAAAAAATGCAAAAAGTTTCGCAACGGCCAAACGTGTTAGGCCTGCTGACTTTATCGCCGAGTCGGAAGCGCGTAACATTATCAAGTAAGCAAAAATAATACCATTTATCACATAATAAGACCAAATAAATTCTTTCAAAATACGTTAATTCTTTGTTTGTCTATGAAAAGGTAATTATTAACCTCTCTTGAGAGGTTATCTGTAGCTAGCAGTAGGATGTGTGTGGCCAAATATGATTTGAAGCAGTACAGTTAACGTAATAAATAAATTTAAATAATGGTCCAGACAACCATGCTAATTGCTTCCGTGACCGAACGGTAACCACACTGGACTCGCGGAGGTCCCGGGTTCGATTCCCAGGTCGGGAGAAATATTTGTATAGCCTACATTCATTTGTCTCGTGAGTTTGGGTGTAATTTGTGGTTGTCTATGTGTGTCCATGGCACCCGCAATACTGGGTTTCCTTAGTACGGGGCTCAGAGTGTGTGCGTTAAATACTTTAGTCTCAAACTAGGGAATTCCTTGTGCCATGAGTACCAGAGCAGAACAGAAGCCAATTTTAGAAACATACATTTCTCAAATTGGTCCTATCGGGAATCGAACCCAGAACCATCCAGCGCCGAGAGTGAGAATCGCTGGACCATCGAGGTCGTCAAATAGTAGTCTTGAACGCTTTGCCGAAAATAGCAGTGATGAATTTTGTTTAGAATGCTCAATGTGTCAGCCCCGTTTTTGCGAGATGTTTAGATCTATAAAGCATTCTGGATGTTTGGATATGAAATTAAACAATACAACACATATATTTGTGTAATTGTACAGATCATTCTTAATCTGACTGTGACTACAAAATGGTGTTTTTATACATTAACATACTTTATAATTTATTTTAAACTGAGTGACGTCTGTGAAACAGTCAGTAACCTAGTCATTATTTATTATTAAAATATTGTTATTTGTTTCAGAGACCGTTGTGTCAACAGTGTTTGCGATTATCTTTTCGTAATTGACAGTGTTGCGAGAGTAGAATCGCTCACATTACGACATTTAATTACATCTGGTTACGACATTATTGCCCCTCTGTTAGTTCGATCTGGACAGGCATGGTCCAACTTTTGGGGCAGTATTAACTCTTCCGGTTACTATGCCAGATCTGTTGACTATATGGACATCGTATATAACGTCATTAGGTAAGATTTATCGTTTTTTTTATCTATAACTGTAAGCGATACTTATTAATTTCAAGTAATTTGTGCTATGTATAACTCAACACGTTCACAGTCCCCCATATAAAGGCCGATGTCAACCCTATAATTCCACTGGAATTTGTGTGAAATAGGTTGGTTTTGTCATTTACTCTCACATTATATATCCATAATATTGTTATTTTTCAAAAACTGTACCTCCTGTATTAAAGAAATCAGAATTTTAATCTATAAATCCAACCAAAATATTGAAGTAGTATTCAGTATTCTATAGGTGTGCGTGGACTTATGTTTGAGACCAATTTGCGATTCCATGTAGGGTCAGGGGTTGTGAACGTGTTAATACGTGTTTAAATATTGATTCACAGAATATTTTGCAGCCCGAAACTAAATTTCTTAAATAATAATAACGACATAGACTACTTTTATTTTTAGTAAACTTTTCAAACTGATTTTTTTTCTGTGTAGTTTCTAAACTGCTTTAAAGTTTCATTTCTAACACGGCATTTTTCATATGTCATTTTTGCTTCATGCATAACCTACAGACAATTAAAATATCCTTAATGTTGAGTAAACCACCCAACATTAAGAATATCATATCATCATAATCAGTTTTTAACCGACTTCAAAAAAAGGGGGAGGTTATCGATTCAACTGTTTCTTTTTGTACGTTTGTTACGCGATAATTTCGCGATAAATATTAGTGAACCGATTTTGATGATTCTTTGGAAAGAGTGTATCTCAGTAGTAGTCCCATTTATAATAATAATAAAATCTTTATTTCTTATAAACATGGTTTCTTAAACAATAGTGGCTGGAACCTCCTTTTAAGCATATACTGTGTCAGGAGGCACCGCTCTTCGGTCGCTACACGTATTAATACATAAACAACTTAGATTTGAAGGAAATATTCCACCTCTAACGGTGGCAAACTAGTGGATGAATCTCTGCGTAATCTGGATAATATAGGCCCGAAAATCACTTGCAAACCATCTTTCAAAAAGAACAAACCGTTCGACGTTGTAAAGTTTGAGACGTAATTTAGCCGATTTTAAATTCACACCTAATTCTCGCCGCAACAACGTATTGGTACTTCCGAAATCAAGATTGGAATTGTTTAGAAATAGCCCCTACTATAGAGCAGTTAAAATATACGCATTAAAGATGAACAAAAAGATAATTTTTTCTTAACTAAACTAAAATAAATCCTAATTGAACAATGTTATTACTCAGTAAATGATTTTTTTAATGACAAACATTGATTTAAATTATTAATGACTATTTTACGATCTAATTGTAAATGAAAATAAAATTAGTAATTAAGTATAATGACCTACAATAAAGAAGTAACGTTGAATTGTTCATATCGATTTATTTTAATTTATGTATTACTTATTGTCTTATTAATAATATAAATTGGATGTAGTTAAGCAAAAAAGATCCAATCCACAAAATGATCAAAAAATGTGTTATGTGTACCAAACGGTTCCTAAAGTCTAACCTCTTAGATCAGCAAACATAAATCCAACATATAAACATAAATAAATATCTCTGGATTTACATGACATAAGTTTTGAAAATTAAAGAGAGTGAGAAACGCTTTTAAATTCAAACTGCCATATGTGAGTGGATGTGGATTGGATCCTTTTTGTTTAACTACGTCCAATTATTATAAATTCAAATGTTAAATGGCAGTGCCCGAACAGAGTCCATGTACTGTACCTGTGATAGTTATTAAGATCAATTTTACACAAATTGTACAAGCAGCAATAATGAATAAATAAAAAAGTAAAATAATGAATAAATGAAATTAATCAGGTTTCGCGCACATTCCGGTAACCGTTTTGTATAAAACTTGGCAAATAGATGTAATTTTACGAACTTTTGAGCTCAGTTTTTATGTCGGAGCCAACATGTAGTGCCGCAAAGATTTTGTATATATGTTTGGTTAGGTAGTATTTTGATTTATTTGTCTGGATTTTATTAAGTGTTTTCTTGTGGTAATGTTTTTCTAAAGGGGCTGACATGTTCAATAATGATCAAAGCCCCTAAATATATAAGGAATAAAAAAAACCTGAATTAATCATAAATGAAAAAACCAAAACTTTTAATATACTTTTTATTTCATGCAAAACAGTAATGCAAACAATATAATCTAGTTATAACGAAATTGTGTTAATATTTCCACTTATAAATTGCAATTGAGCGTCTTGGACAACTTTTAACTACTATCTTTTCATGTCGTCAAGGCCTCACACGATTGAATTGCGTAGAAGAGCTTTGACAGTGTGTAAAGGTCTGCTATCTTCGACTGCGTTTGCTGTTAAATTTAATATACTTGAATATTAATGTATGGGATTCAGTCGAACGCGATAGAGAAATCGGTCTTGAATGAGCGTCTGTCGATGGAGTACATGTTATCCGCAGTGCACTCGTACACACCGGCGTCCATCTGTGTGGCCGGGTCTATTTCAATTTTGGATTTGACGCGGTCATCGCCGATAGGCCACTCATGGATCTAAAACAAAATTCTGTATAATTTTTAATCAAATCCTATCTTTATTACTGCCCCTTCAATATAAGATGTAAATCGTAAAGCAGGCAAGTCCATTTTGCGCTTTGAGAGTTCGTCATTTTGTGTACACGTATCCAGACTAGAAAATAATCAACACCGCAACCAAAAGTAACTATATAAAATAATAAAACGTACGTGCAAATAATGGTGAGCAAATATCTCCACTCCATCTTTGAACCAAGTTATATGCGGTCTCGGGCTCCCTTTTGCGATGCAGAGAAAGGCGATTTTGTGTCCCAACACGTACTCAAAATCAAAGTGAGAGGCCAAAAGAATTTTAGCTCCCTGAAATGTTTTTATGCAAAGACACTTTAAAGTTCAAAAATATTGAAGATCTACACAGCAGGCAGCATTGTACGTAACAAAAGTCAGTGATGTACGATTTTTTTGCTTACACAGACAAACTATAACGTGCACCCTTT